CAGTTTTTTATGGTGACCGCCCCAAATTCCCCTTGTACTGGACTCGCAACCCATTGTGTTTCAAGAAGTGCCCGCACTCTGAGATGTCATCAGAGGATAACCGGGTGTACTAGACGCACATCTCTAGCCTTGGTTCAACCATTTATGCTTCCAACCAATTTTTGGGCTCCGATCACAAGCTTAGCTCAAAGGTTATGATGGAAATGTCAGCAACCAAAAGGATTTCTATACAACTACCGATCATGCAAAGATAATGTAGGATTTCATCGAGCTCAAGACTCAAGCCCTTGTCTTAGGTAAAAGGCTGGGGCTGATATAATAAACACCGATGAGTGTTTAGACTTAGCCCGCTCGTCAAGGGGGAGCTAGTTGAGACCTTTGTTAGGTAAACATTAAATGCATGTAGTTGAGAGGTAGTGGTTATAGAGGTAGTAGTTGAGAGGTAGTTGTTGTATTGAATGTATGTAGTTGAAAGGTAGTAGTTGTATTAAATGCATGTAGTTGAGAGGCCATATCCAAAGGGCCTATAAATTGACCATGCATCACTCATTGCAAATACATCAAGTGATAATATACAAAAGTGTTTTATTTAGATACTTGTTTGTCTACAAATTGGTATCAGAGCTTGAGAGGCTGAGTGTCTGAGTGCGTTAGAGAGAGTGTTTGAGAGTTAGAGAGTTTGTTTGAGATGGCCAACTTAGCTAACAGCATGCCCCTACCAAAGTTATCAAAAGGCGTAAGCTATGATAACTGGAGCCTGCAAATGAAGGCTCTCCTTGGTTCCCAAGAAGTATGGGATGTGGTCGAAAATGGGCACCAAGAACCAGAGAATATTGAAGAGCAGACGATTGCTCAGCTTGCTGCATTGAGAGGAACACGAGTAAAGGACAAAACGGCTTTGTACGTACTGTACCGAGCTGTTGATGAGTCCGGCTTTGAGAAGATAGCAAATGCTAAATCTTCAAAAGAAGCGTTCTGGAGAAGGCATATAAAGGGGATAATCGTGTGAAGCAAGTCAGGCTTCAAACTCTTAGAGGCGAGCTTGAAAGCATGAGGATGAAAGAGGTTGAAGGGGTTGTCGAGTACATCTCCCGTGTTGAGACCGTGGTGAATCAACTCGGAAGAAATGGAGAGACGCTGCCCACTTGCCGAGTGGTGGAGAAAATCTTAAGGTCGTTAACTGACGATTTTGAGAATATCGTTTGTGCAATAGAAGAGTCCAAGGACTTGTCGGTGCTCTCGGTGGAAGAGCTTGCCGGGTCGCTTGAAGCGCATGAACAGCGGAGAAGGAAGAAGAAAGAGGAGTCCCTTGATCAAGCACTCCAAGCAAAGGCAATCTTAAAGGAGAAGAAGGTTCCTTATGCTCGGAACACTCAAGGCCGAGGTGGTAGAGGCGAGAGGAGAATATGAAAGAGGCAAGGAGCCGATCGGTCAACAAAGCCGGCGTGGCCGAAGACAAGGTAGAGGTCGTGATGGTAGAGGCCGAGGTGGTCAGTCAAGCAATTCTGGAGTTGAGTGCTTCAAATGTGGGAAGTACGGTCATTTTGCTAAGGACTGCTATTCAGGTATCAAATGTTATAATTGTGGGAAGGTTGGGCATTTCGCAAAGGACTGCCAATCTGAGAGGAAGAAGGAGACAAACCTCCTCTCTGAGGACACTGAGGAAGAAGGAGTATTGATGATGTCAAGAAGTTCGGATGTCGAGCTAAGTCCGAGTTGTTCTGACAACTCGGTTTGGTATCTTGATACAGGAGCAAGTAACCACATGTGCGGGGACGAGAACCTTTTTAAGGAGCTCACTAAAGTTGAGGCCGGACACGTGTCATTTGGGGATGCATCAAAGGTGGCAGTAAAAGGCAGAGGTACAATCTGGTACCTACAAAAGAATAGCCGAGTTGGAGAAATCAGAGACGTGTACTATGTACCTGATCTCAAAAGCAACATACTGAGCATGGGTCAGCTGATGGAGAAAGGCTACTCGGTTCTGATGAAAGACCGAGTACTATACCTGAAGGACAAGTCGGATCGTTTGATTGTCCGAGTAGAAATGAAGAAGAACAGAATGTACAAGATGGAGTTGAAGATAGTCCAAGAGAGGTGCTTGAAACTAGACGTGAAGGATGAAGCAATAATGTGACACTTTCGGTTTGGCCACTTGCATTTTGGCGGGCTGACCAAGTTGGTAAAGAAAGAGATGGTGCGAGGACTCCCGTCTATGGAATTTAAAAAGAAATTTTGTGAAGAGTGTGTGCTCGGGAAGCATCCGAGAACCTTATTTCCGAGGACGGCCGAGTACCGTGCAAAGGAACAACTCGGATTGATTCACACAGATCTTTGTGGACCGGTTACCCCTGAGTCCTTCAGTGGGAAAAGGTATTTCATTTCTTTTATAGATGATTTTTCAAGAAAAACCTGGGTATATTTTTTGAAGGAGAAATCTGAGGTGTTTGAGGTGTTCAAGAGATTTAAAGCAATGGTTGAGAAAGAGACTGGCATGCCTATCAAATCTGTTAGGTCTGATCGAGGAGGCGAGTTCATTTCATCCGAACTCATGAAGTATTGCGAGGAGCAAGGGATAAGGAGATTTCTGACAGCACCATACTCACCCCAACAAAACGGAGTTGCCGAGAGGAAGAATCGAACCATTCTTGACATGGTTCGAACAATGTTGAGAAGCAAAAATGTGCCAAAGGAGTTCTGGGCAGAAGTTCTGCAATGTGCCATCTATGTGCAAAATAGATGTCCACATGCTAAGCTGAACGAGAAGACACCACAAGAAGTCTGGAGTGGAAGAAAACCGAGTGTGTCTCACCTTAAAGTGTTCGGTAGCATAGCTTATGGTCATGTTCCAGCTCAACAGAGGACCAAGCTCGAAGATAGAAGCAAAAAGTACGTGTTTATTGGGTATGATGAAAAAACCAAGGCGTACAGGTTGTTTAACCCAATAACTAAGAAGGTCATCATGAGCCGAGATGTTCAAATTGATGAAGAAAGCGAGTGGAGTTGGAACAACCCGGAGAAGGAGTCCATAGGAAGTAGAGGCTCGGAAGTTGATACACCACATACTGTGAGAGATCATGAGACTTCTGATGAAGAAGATAAACCTCTACAGCCCAGAGCGCGAAGTTTACAAGATATATACAACTTCACTGACGAAGTGCATGTTATATGTCTCTTGGCAGATTCAGAAGACTTAAATTTTGAAGAGGCCGTGCAGGAGAAAAGATGGAAAACTGCAATGGACGAGGAGATCGGGGCAATAGAACGCAACAACACATGGGAGCTGACTGATTTGCCCAAAGGAGCGCGGCCTATCGGTGTAAAGTGGGTGTACAAGAAGAAGACAAATGCTGAAGGAGAAGTTGAGCGATATAAAGCTCGACTCGTAGTGAAGGGGTACAAGCAGAAGGAAGGAATAGACTATGACGAAGTATTCGCCCCAGTGACGAGAATGGAAACAATTAGGCTGCTGATTTCCTTAGCAGCTCAACACAGATGGACAATCTTGCAGATGGACGTGAAGTCGGCATTTCTGAATGGAATCTTGGAGGAGGAAGTATATGTTGAACAGCCACTCGGATACATGCGAAGAGGCGAAGAGAAGAAAGTGCTGAGATTGAAGAAGGCACTTTATGGCTTGAAACAAGCTCCACGAGCATGGAATGAAAGAATTGACACTTACTTCAAAAGGAATGGATATGAGCAGTGTCCTTATGAACATGCTCTATATATAAAGAAGAAAGGAGAAGATGTGATGTTTGTTGCCCTATATGTTGATGATCTTATCTTCATGGGGAATAATGTCGAGCTAATTGAAGAGTTTAAAGAAGTGATGAAGAAGGAGTTTGAGATGAGTGACTTGGGTCTTATGAAGTATTTTCTTGGCTTAGAAGTTGTTCAGGGAAAGGATGGCATCTTTGTGTCGCAGGAAAGGTATGCTGAGGAGATCTTGAAGAAGTTTAAGATGACAAGTTGCAACCCGGTTTCCACCCCTATGGAACCTGGTACAAAACTTTCTAAGTATGCAGATGGAGACCGAGTTGATGCGAGCAAATACTGAAGTCTGATTGGAAGTCTTAGGTATCTTACAAATACCAGACCAGATTTAATGCTAAGTGTTGGAATAGCAAGTCGATATATGGAGAGGCCAAGGTATACTCATTGGAAGGCACTAAAGAGAATTCTAAGGTATGTGAGAGAAATAGTGTCACTTGGCCTAATGTATACTAGGACGAATGATTATCGACTAGTAGGCTACTCGGATAGTGACTGGTGTGGAGATGTTGATGACCGAAAAAGCACGTCTGGATATGTATTCTTCATGGGAAACACAACATTCACCTGGCTTTCAAAAAAGCAGCCCATTGTAACGTTGTCAACTTGTGAAGCCGAGTACGTTGCAGCATCCTGGAGTGTCTGTCATGCAGTTTGGCTAAGAAACCTTCTAAGCAAGCTGGAGTTGAAGCAAGAAAGAGGGATTGTGATTCGAGTTGATAACAAGTCGGCCATTGAATTGGCAAAGAATCCGGTCAATCATGAGAGAAGCAAACATATTGATGTTCGGTTTCATTTCATCCGAGAACAAGTGAAAGAAGGAAATGTGGAGTTAGAGCACGTCGGAACCCGAACACAAGCTGCAGATATGTTCACGAAGCCACTGTCAACCACTCTGTTCGAGAACAACAAGAAGATGCTTGGAATGAAGGACAAGAAAAGCATTTAAGTTTATGGGGGGATTTTGTTAGGTAAACATTAAATGCATGTAGTTGAGAGGTAGTGGTTATAGAGGTAGTAGTTGAGAGGTAGTTGTTGTATTGAATGTATGTAGTTGAAAGGTAGTAGTTGTATTAAATGCATGTAGTTGAGAGGCCATATCCAAAGGGCCTATAAATTGACCATGCATCACTCATTGCAAATACATCAAGTGATAATATACAAAAGTGTTTTATTTAGATACTTGTTTGTCTACAACCTTTACTTTTCTTCGGGAAGCCCTAAATATGAATTCAGCCCTTAACGTTGAGGTCGTTAAGTTGGGTGGACAAATCTCAGCATTAAGGGTGGAGGGCGACGACAAGTTGAGGGAAAGGTTGGCACATGCAAAAGAAGAGAATAAGATAATTTCGTCTCTCCATGAATTAAAGGTCGTCCCGAAGGTGACAGCCGAGAAGGAGTTGGCTGAGATAAAGGATTATGTTGTCCAGGAGCACATAGAGGGTTTCAACAAGGTCATCCGTCAGATGCACTACTTCACTGGGAGCAGTGTATCTTTAAGCGAGGCAAAGTTTGATGTTGAGTACGACATTCATAACTAGTCTCTTGTTCACATTGACGACCCCCAGATGATACCTATTGTATTTTTCTTTGTATTTTGTTTGAATGTATACCTATCGGATTTGTTTTCGGACTTTTTGGAAATGACGATGTTGATCGGGCTTGTTCCTGACTTTTGATGTACATGTTTAACTTGACATGAAAGTTTGTGATTAATGTGTTAGTTTGTTGTCATTCCACATTGTTTTAGGGTGTTATTAGATAGCATGTTATTGTTGACAAACAAGTATCTAAATAAAACACTCTGTATATTATTATTTGATGTGTGTTTGCAATGAGTGGTACATGGTCAATTTATAGGCTTTTGGATATGGTCTCTCAACTACATGCATTTAATACAACTACTACCTTTCAACTACATACATTCAATATAACCACTATCTCTCAACTACATACATTCAATACAACTACTACCTCTCAACTACTACCTCTATAACCACTACGTACCTCTCAACTACATGCATTTAATGTTTACCTAATAAAATCCTCCCATAAACTTAAATGTTTTTCTTGTCCTTCATTCCAAGCTTCTTCTTGTTGTTCTCGAACAGAGTGGTTCACTACAAGAAAAATTCATTTTAGCGACCGAAAAAATTGGTCGCTAATGTCAAAAAATCGGTCACTAATCAGTTAGCGACCGAAAGGCGTCGTCGCAAAAAGCCAAGTCGCTAACGTGTTAGCGACCGATTTTATTTCGGTCGCAAAATAGCGACCGAAATTAATATATCAAATTGGTCGCTAAAGTGGTGACAAAGTAAAAAAAATAGCGACCGTTTTAAATCGGTCGCTAAATCAATAACAAAGTAAAAAAAATAGCGACCGTTTTAAATCGGTCGCTAAATCAATAACAAAGTTAAAAAAATAGCGACCGATTTAAATCGGTCGCTAAATCAATAACAAAGTTAATTATTTTTATTTATTTACATTTTTAATTATATCAAGTTCATTAGACAACTTTTTTTTCTCTAATTGGCCACAATTGTATTACATAATGAATGCTTAGTAGTTAGTAGTTAAGATGCATTCTCATCCATGAAATGTGGACCAATTTGTCATAAACTTAAGATTTGAGAAACATTTGCAAATTGAAACTGCCAACTAACAGTGACAGAAAAGATTTCTCATTGCCAAGTACTACTAAATGAAACTGTTACACTTAAACACTGCTATACACATAATTGCCTTTTTTTATATGGTAACTCTAGCACAACCTTAAGAGGGTGTCAATATTGTTTTCTGTGGACTTAAGACTATATTTTAATTGTAGAAAATGCATATATACCAAGAAAGGGTGAGACACAATAAAGGTGAACAAAAAAAAATAGTATCATAGTAATGATACATTTCCCTTCATAAAACTGAATTGTAACGTCGCTTCTTTTGTGGTGTTGAATGTGCCTGTGCTTTGATCCCATATGTCTTCAATTGAAAATTTTCAAAAGCCTCTGAAATTGTCTGCACCTATAGGATTGCACAAAGCAATATATTAGTGAATCCAACCTGAATGGGTAAAGGAAAGAAGTTTAAACATGCACAGGATAACTAACCAGTTCAACCTTTTTGGAGTACACCTTAACTATCATATCTTGGTAAGATATAGGTAGCAAGTGGCTTACACGGTCATCGGGTATTGTAAATTTCTCATTGCTTTCATAATCCTGAATGCATTATTGAAACTAGGTAACTCAATACAACTAGCATAATTTAATTCCAAACTAAGCACCAATAATCGGGCCAAACTAAGCCACTTTAAATATTTCAATAATTTTGAACAATTGCAGCCCGAGTATCCCAACGAAGTAATATAAAACAGTTTAAACTAAAACTTATTAGCAAGGAAACTGTCAAACTGCATAAGGTAAGAGGTTTAATAGTGCAAAAAAAGATATAATCCACTAATACAATATAGACACAGGCAAAACCAATTAATATATAAGAAGATTAAAGAAATATCTTGATGAAAGATAGTTAGGTAGGTTTGCCGATGTACCTTGAAAAAGTGGATGCTGCCACAGAAACATGCACCATAAGAGAGAAAAATAATGCATTAGGATAACATTATAGTAAGTTAAAACAAACTAAATGTCTATGTTCAACAAACATGATTATTCTTCATTGAATACCTTTAAAGAGGATTATGATTTCCACTAGTCAAATCAATTTTGACGTTACAAACAACTACATCCTCCTCTTTCAGAGTAACTCCACCACTCTTCTGCCAGATACATATATAAAACAAAATGGAATTCCTCCTTGAAGAGAAAGAATCAAAATTATATGCAATTTGCAAATGAGAAGGTTTAATCGGATTGAAGACCTGAGAGCAAAAAATATCTTGAGGGGTGACCTTCTTAAAATTGTCTAGCATACCCTTGGGTACTGGGTACTCATTACAAAACTGCAAAACAAAATTCTTCCTCAGGTTCAGCAAGACTATATAATTATAATTATAATTATAATTTAATAAATACACACAAACATTTTAGGCCAATGTAATGTAAATTTAGAAACATCCACACAATAGTTAGCATTGAATTTGTGACAAACAGCTTGAGAAGATACGATGACATAATAGGTACTTGCAGCAGGTAATTGACAACAATAAAAGAAAACCAACAGGTTAAAAACATGCCTGGTACAAATTCCTCCTTCGAATGCGCAGGATGAATTCCCTGGCCTCCTTTAGTTCTTGACTTGTACTTGTCTCAATAGTTTTAACTATTGTGTCATCCAGTTGCATTTTTAAAGTAAATTACGTTTTATGATTCAAAAGAGCATTGTAAAAATGCTTTTAATTTTGTAAGAAGCCCTGATAACCTTCCAGTACTGAGAAGGATTATTTATATGAAATTTCGAAATAACTATTAGCATGAACAAGTGCATCGAACTATTAGCATGAACAAGGATCATAAGCTCCATTGCCTGGAAACATGAAGATGGGATTAGAAACTGTAAAAACCAAGAATGGTAAGTTCATGGGTATTAAGTAGACAGGTAAGGAAAAAAAAGGTAGGTATCTACATCTACCTAAAATTCAATAATCTTCTTAACAAAATGAACATACTTCATACCTTCACTTTTGGATGTGTATAAACTGTTCTATACAGATAAGCACGAGTGACAAACATTTTGTGGATGGTAAGGTCTAGTAAATTACGCAGCCAACAAGAAAACTACATATTCGGGAAAAAAACTAAACGAAATAACAAGTATAAGACCCGTAATCAAGCCGGAACCCGATTCAACCAATAGAGGTAGTCAGTTTGACAATTCATACGAAAATAAACCGAGACCCACACACAATTTATCCTTAACCAAGGAGAACAATCCACAGTAAAAAGGCATAAAAGAAATAGAACATAGCAGCAAAATGTGAACCGAAGGGCTTGACCCGCGACCCCTCTGACTCACCTCTAGTGCGCGGCTGGTTCAATAGTGGAGGTTAGGTTGAGATTTAGGGATGGCCACGATGGTGGCCAGGGAGGCGGTGGTGATGACTGAGGTTTGGTGGAGGTTGGATTATGGTGAGGGCTGACTTGGGGGGAGCAGTGAGGGGGCTAGGGCTCGCCGGGAGTGAGGAGGAGATACTGGCCGTGGGATTTGGAAGGTTAAGAGGAATGGGTGAGTGAGGCGCGAGAGTGAGGGTTATTTAGGGATAAGTGGGGCGACTGGGATGTAGATGGTAATGAAAAATGTAGTTGTATATGATAGGGGTTCCACTGGAACCGCTCTTAAAAGTGAACATCTAATAGTGGTTAAACCTTAACCGCTATCTAAAATATATTTTTTATAGTGGTTAACGTGGAACCGCTATTATATATTTTCAAATATGATCGACTATTTGAAAATTTAATCGATCATAATCAAAAAATGTGGTTGTATATGATAGCGGTTCCACTAGAACTGCTCTTAAAAGTGAACTTCTAATAGCGGTTAAACCTTAACCGCTATCTAAAATATATTTTAGATAGCGGTTATCGTGGAACCGCTTATTATATATTTTCAAATATGATCGATCATTTCAAAATATAATCGATCATAATGAAAACTTACATTAACTATTTTTTTGAATATTATGTTTTTAAATTTGCTATTAGAGAAAACGTTTCAGAATTCAAAATGTTAAATACTTTTAAATATTAAAATTAACTTTATCAAAAATTAGGAAAAAAAATTAATCCAAAAGAGTTCAAAAATGTATTATAATATTGTCAATTTTGAGTTTAATTATATTTTTCATTCTCAAAGTTGAAAAATATATTGTAATTATTTTAATTTAATAAAATATAATTTAAAATTTTAATACTAAAATTAAAAGATTAAATAATAATAAATTTAATTCTTTAAATTTAGTATTTAGAAACTAAAATTATAGTTTCTCTATTTTAAAAAATTAAAATAAATATTTAAAAATAAAAATCAAAACTAGTATTATCTTAAATTTATTAAAAGTATAATTAAATCTCTATTTTGTTAATTTTTTTTGTTTTAAACTTCTCAATTCTACATTTTTGTAAATTCTATCATTATATTATCATCCTCATCTCCTCCCATGTTCTACTTTATCTTTACAATAGTTAATATTCTTAAATAATTTATATTTTTATTTATAATATTTTAATATATATTTGAGAAATTAATCAATTATAATCTATTATTTGACAAACTAATCAATTCTAATCAATTATTTAGAAAAGTAATCGATTATAATTAATTATTTGAAAAAATTATCAAATATGATCGATCATTTGAAAATTTAATCGATCATAATAAAAAAATGTGATTGTATATGATAGCGGTTCCACTTGAATCGCTCTTACAAGTGAACTTATAATAGCGGTTATCGTGGAACCGCTATTATATATTTTCAAATATGATCGATCATTTCAAAATATAATTGATCATAATGAAAACTTACATTAACTATTTTTTTGAATATTATGTTTTTAAATTTGCTATTAG